GTAATAATACTTATATAAGGGCCGCTTTAGTATCACTTAAGGAATTTTATTATTTTACAAAACCTTTTCCCGAAAGTGAATTTCAGTTGATTTGTTATAGCAGGTGATTACAATTCAATATCAAACTTTATTGCATCATAACCATAAGAAATACATAGTCTAGAAGCACGGGTCGTTTCTTTTGTTTTGCCGTTTTAACTTGAAAAAAAAAACTTGTGCAGGGGTGTAACGGGCTAAAATTCAAAATTAAAGTTAAAACGGCAAAACAAAAGAAACGACCCGTGCTTCTAGTTCAGCTGAACTTCATGTAGAAACACAGCTTGATGATTTGTTTATGGCTCTAACTGATCGAACTTTTGACAATAACATGGAAATTGAACAAGATCTAGATAATTTATTATCTGAAGTTTGTTTTAAATCCAATTTTTCGTGCGACTTGTGTTATAAAGTTTATAAAACGAAATATGGCCTGAAAAGACATAAAACTTCGAAACACGAACAAATCAACTCAATTAGCGAAGATAAAGACTCCATACAATTTAGTTATCTTGGTCTTGAGAAAATTGTTGAAAAATGTGCTTATAAATTATCAAATGATTTATGCTTGCTTGAAGAAATTCGAATCCAATTTTCAAAGCAGAATTTTTCTTTTAGTTCTGCAAATTCAATTTCTCTTTTCGAAAAATTTCAATGTTTTATTTTGAAATACAATGGTGATGCAGAAAAATTTTATTCTCAATTTTATAGACTTCTTTATGAAAATTTATTGCCATCAAAGTTTTACAATATTTTACTGACCAATACTTTGCTTACTAAAGTTTGAAATCACATACTTCAAGATCTTCCAGAAAATAAACATAATAATTCATCTAATAGCAAAGTTTCGTATGAGCAGTGTAAAAAACAATGCATAGAAATATTATCAGCATGCAAAATTGATTCAAATGATACCTAAAAAAAATATGTTAATACTAAGAACAGAGGTGGTTTATTTAAAACTAACATCTATACCTAAAATATCTTTATCCAATGTGAAATAATTTTTCGTAAACAAAGCAAATCTTTTGTAACATTTATTAACAGCAAAGCTATGGTTAATGAAATGCTTAAGGAATCAGTGATTATAAGTAACTTGAACAATATATGTTACAGTGCTGAAGTGCAAATTGATAAAGAAATATCTTCCTCTCTTCTTGAAAGTATGCTTGTTTTGTTCACAAGGGTAAGAAGCTTTTCCTATACTAGAGATATTTGTGAGAAACATCAAATCAACAAGCGACAAGCACGCAAATCTTCTATATGAACAGAGATTAAAAAACCAACGTACAGCAATGTAGTTGATCCATAAATTTGGTCTTGGGTTTATCCCTGGTCTGCTTTAGAAGATACTAAACGGTTATTTTAAAGCCATTAATTTTATTAAAAAATTATGGTGCAGCAACTTAGTAATTTTTTAATAAAAATATTGATATTTATGTTGTTGAATAAAAAAAGAGTATTAGTTTTTAACAATTCTGATTTCTTTATTGCCTATTTTAAATACTTCTTACTGATGATATTTTTTTAGTTATTTTTTTCCCTCTGATTATGCCCCATAAACGTGATGCCTGTCGGAAACTGACCCAGATCCTCCACCCTTGTATACACAGACACAATGTGTAAAAAATGTCACCCCCTAAATTCCTAATATATCATAATTATGATATATGAAGAATATTCTTAATATATCATTGGGATCATCCCCTAATCCTTTTTTAATTTTTCTGTGGTATAGGTTAGTATAATTGCTGGGGGAAAAACAAACAAACAAATTTGATTGCTATTAAAACAATTTTTTTAGCAAAAAAGTTCTTTTTATAAGTTTTTGATAAAACAATCATGGTTAAAAGATTATATTTAGTAAATGTTACACTTTTAGGCTTTTAAGTCTAATAGTGCAGGAAACTTCGGAAAATTTAAAAAAATTCCTATATATTTCCGAAAAAATAAAAACAAACAAGACATCTTTTTTATTTATTTTTGTTAATGCCATTTTTTAAAATTATTTTTATTAATGCAACTTTTTTTTGTACTAAATTAAAAAGTAGGCTGTTCAATGCTTCCAATACTAAATGACCCAGAAAAAAATGCATTTATTTTGTATTTGTTATCAACAAACGAAAGAAACTATAAATGCATTCACTGTGAATTGGCCTTGCAAATTGGAAAATATAAACTCACTAAAGTAAATGAAAACTTTTAATGTAATCAGGCTTTAATAATCATTTGCCTATTAAAAAAAACAACCTCCCAAGAAAAGTTTATTAGATTTGATAAAAAAATTCCCACTCACCCTTTTAATGAGACCCAGTTTTTTATTAGATCTGGAAATTCCTACCCCATTTTGTATTTAGCACCTGAGAGTAATGTTACACAAATACTGTTTAGTTTATAAATTTAGGGAATTATCAGCCTTTATTAAGAATACGTTGCTTAATTTATTGTAAATCTTGGGTGCCTAATACAAAAATGGTGATAAAAATCTGACTTAAGAAAGCAACTAAGAGTATTATTATAATTGATTAAGCATTGCTAATATTGAAAAAACACTTTCCTTCGATATTAATTGATATTAACAAAAATTCGACATAAATTGATATTTTAATATTAACAAAATAAATAATAATATAAATAAACAGAAACTGTTGTCACAAGCTATTTAGTCTGATTTTTTTCTTCTTTTTGGCAGTGGTGAATCATTTATCTTATTACAATTATGTCTTTGACCTTGAATGTTACCGACAATAGATCGTATAGAATATTGTGACTTAATAGTGTTATTATACCCAGCATCTCTGACAGAGGAATTATCACGTCTGCTGCCAATGGCACGCTGCCTTCCAAGTAGTTTTCTAAATCATCTTGACAAAATCTTTCTGAAAGAATGTAAGGAACACCATGTTCTATAAGAAACTTACAAACTTCTTTGAATGAATGTACTGTTGTCTGGATACCTTCATACGTTTTCAATGAAATAAACATATTTGCCTTAGCATTAGCAGTATAATCCTGGTCATTTCAATTGTCAATAGACTCTTTCCATTTCTCAAAGTATAAAAGAAAACTGTCAAGCTATTCAAAATGTACATCATTAACAGATTCATATGGTTTTAGATTTTCTTCTAAATTTTTTTATAGCTTTATTTTAGTAAATATTGTGAGCTCTGTAGACTAAATCAATACACAAATTCATATTTAAGTTGTTATGCATTCTAAAAAAAATTTCTGTTCGGAGAGACACCATCAGCTGTTGCAGAAATTTATACTTTTAAATTTATACTTTCAAGATAACAAACAGCTTTCCAAAAAATAGACATAAGCTGAAATTACGTAATTCCAGTAATTAAAAAAGTAGCTAAACTAAACGATAAAGGATTAACAATACTCTTTACGAGAAACACAAGTATATAACTTTGAGTTTGATATATTCAGTAATCAAATTTATACATTTAAACCGTTATTCCGTTCAAATAAATACATTTAATACATTTAAATAATTAAAAAATATATACATATACATATGTATATATTTAAATGTTAAATTATTAATTTGATGAAGAGACTTTTCCAGGAGTCTCTATGCTGATTTAACAGTTTATCGAGAATCTTTAAATGCATTTAAAGATGGAGCGTTTACTACGTGCTGTGTGAGAGAGTTCCAATGGACTGCAACTCGGTTTGGAAAAAGTTTGATCTTTCCTCACATTCTCTTACGAATTGACGATCAAGCTGCTTGTCAAGGCCGCATAGGTTGTACACCTCACGCCCAATTAATTGGTGCTGTGGGACCGTAAAATGAACTTCGTTGTTGAAAATTTTGAATTGTTTGATTATATCAACACGCAAACGACGTTCTTTGAGGGTAGTTAGTTTGTACCTGCAGACGCTTTATTTTATCAAAATGGCTGATAGATGATAATGTCTTAGTGACGCAATCTTGATATATGAGTAGCTAACTCTCTAACATTTTTTAAAGTAGAAAAATTGATTTCTTTATCACCTAAATCAACAAAACCAATAAGTTCTTCAGTATATTTTTCCTAAACTAAATCTTCTTGGACCTTCGATTCATTGAAAATAATTGAGACAAATTTTTCATGAGGAAGAAAATTTTGTGTTTATTTTGCAAGTTCACTTAAGACGGCTGGATTAAATCCCCTAGTAGGTCGGATGTAATTTTTGTAATCTCTTAAAGTTCTTAAGCTTGGAAGAGTTAAAATGCCTACACCTGTCTATGGATCATACTGCAGATCGCTATAAGCAAATGGTGATTTAGCAGCTAGGTTAAGACAATATTTTATTATTGCAGGGTGGTATCTGATAGATGAAAGATTGGAACAACTCAAATACTTCTGCTGCTCTTCCCAAAGCAACTTCATAAACGGTAAGATGTATTTTTGATCACTAGCTGAATAAATAGAGATTAAGTCTTTACTAAGTTGTGAACAAATTTTCTTACTACATATATTTAAAGCAGATTTTATTAGTTCAATTTCCTTTTTGTATTGCATGCATTGAAGTCTGCATTGCTGCAAAGTCAGTTTAAGTCTACTAGGAGAAGTTACTGAGATTGGCGCATTTAATTTAGCAGGAGTCTTAAGAGTAGATCTTTTAGAGTGTATATTAGAATTTACTTTAACATTAAGTTCATGACAAAATCTGCAAGGCTGATTCTTTCCAAAGGCTAATAATTCACAAGAGTTGTTGCGATAAAATTCGATTTGATGCAGCTTAGACTTTGATAAAGAATTTTCATAAACAAAATAATCGAAAGTTTTAGGAACAACATGCTTCTGAAAATTTCACACTTCAATAGGATCAGGAACTTTAATTCCATTGCAAAATTCTAAAGATTCTATTTCAAAAACAAACTGTGAAAAAATCACATTTAGAAATTCTTTTTTTTTTTTTTGCGAAAACTTTTGACGTGAACGGACGTGCTTTTGTAAACTAAATTAAAAATGGCTAAATTTACCGTTTCTCAAATTAAAGATCTATTAGATATTCATGAGAATACTTTATTGAAAATATTTAACGAGAAGTTTGATAAAATGGAAATCAAACTATTAAATCTTCAAGAAGAAAATTCAAAACTAAAAAAAGAAACTAGTGAATTAAGGAAATTGGCAGAGTTTCTTAACGAGAAATATGAATCAATTGTTCAAGAACTTTCTGAAATAAAAAAAAAGCCTAACTCAACATCAAGCCAGAATGATATAACAAATGTTGTTGTCAAAGACAAACTTGCTGAGTTGGAAGACAGAAGCAGAAGAAATAATCTAAGGTTTACAGGAATTGAGGAAGACGAAAATGAAACGTGGGAATTAAGCGAAGAAAAGATTCAAAATGTTTTAAAGTCAAAACTTGGTTTTAAAGGTAATGTTGAAATTGAACGTGCGCACAGGACGGGAAAAAAAATAGCGATGGAAAAAAGTTCAACAGAACCATAATAGTAAAATTTTCAAATTACAAAGACAAAAAAACTGCGTTGGATAACTATGTTCAGTTAAAATTGTGGAACGATTACAGCGAAAGAATTTTGGAATTGCGAAAACAGTCATTTAAAGAAGCAAAAAATCTGAGAGCCCAAGGTAAATATCAGTGGCGGAACTACTGGACGCAGGACCCTGCGTTGCAGGGGGGGGGGCTTACCGGCTATAGGGGGCCCTCATATAAAAAAAGTTATACTCTCAATAATATTTATACTATAAAACTCTTTTCCGCAAAAAAAACATTCTTTTGCGGGGGGGGGGGGGGGGGGGCCCAAATTTTGAAGTTCCGCCACTGGTAAATATGCTAAAGTTGCGTATAATAAACTTGTAACGCGCGACATTTAAGAAATTCTTTTACATTAGAGTTATTATTTTATCTTAAATTTTTATTGTTTTTAAATACTAAAATGGATTCAAATCACTCAAAGAATTTTGATATTTTTCAATTCAATGATTTTATACTCAACAAAGAGTCCGATCCGGATCAAAGTTTTTTTAGCGAAACAGATGCTTTACAAAGCAACTGCATCTGTTTCTATAGTTATGAAATAAAAGAATTTCTTGACCATGATAAATTTTATGCAGTTTATATAAATATAAGAAGTTTAAAAAAATATTTTGAAAATCTTTGCAATAGTTTTGAGGAAAATTTAACTCTTTTTAGTTTAATATGCATAGCTGAAACTTGGTGTAGTTCTAATGACTCAAGTTTAGATAATAACTTTAAAATCCCGGACTATAATTTGATTTCATTAGGCGGAAAACAAATAAACGCGGCGGTGGTTTAATTGTTTATGTAAAAGAAAACCTTCAGTATTATATTAGGCATTAGGCATGACATGAGTATTTCTGATGTCAATAAAGAAGTTTTAACAATTGAAATATTAAACAATAAAACTAAAAACATTGTGATTAGCTGTTGTTATCGCCCACCTACAGGCGAAAATAAAACTTTTAGTACATTTTTACAAGATGATGTTATAAATAAAAGCAACCATGAAAAGAAATTACTTTACATATTAGGTGATCTGAATTTAAATTGCTTTATAATGGCCTATTTAAAAATGGAGCAGTTCCTCTAATAAACAAACCAACTAGAATTACTTAAACAACAACTTCCTTAATTGATAACATTATAACCAACGATGTTTTTAATAATTCACTTAAAAAAGGCATTTTTAAAAGTGATATATCTGATCACTTCCCTATATTTTTTTGAATTGATATTTATGCGAAAATTATATGTTATGAAAAAAAATCATTTAAAAAACGAATTTTTCATAATAAAAACCTAGAATCTTTTAAATATCAACTATCGTTAATTAATTGGGACATTATAAACTTTTCTGAAGACATTAATTTAATATACAAATCCTTTTTTAAAATTTTTTATGAAATTTTTGACATCAATTTTCCCAAAGTAGAATAAATTACAAATATAAAAAAATTGTATCGCCAGGGATTACTAAAGGTATTCTAAAATCTTCAAAAATTAAGCAAAAATTTTATATTAAACATTTAAAATCAAAAACAACTGAGAATAAGACTATTTATAAAAATTACGTAAGATTATTTGAACGCCTAAGGAAAAATTCAAAAAAAAATATATTTCACTAATTTACTTGAAAAATACATACTAATTAACGAAATTACTGGCAACACTCAAAAAATGTCACAATCTTTGCCCTCAGTTATTAAAGTAGATGATAATCTTCTTCTTGATCAAAAATCAATTGCTTCTGAATTTAATGAATATTTTGTATCTGTAGGACCAAACCTAGCCGAAAAAATTCCGAACCCTAAAAAATTAACAAAAGCAACATATGACCCTCTAAACTCGTATCTAAATTCTTTTGATTTTTCTTTTAAAGAGTTTGAAAGTGCTTTTAAATTGTTAAAGTCAAATAAAGCAGTTGGTCCTGATGATGTCAACAGAAATATTATTATAAGCTGTTTTGACGTTTTAAAAGACATACTTTTCCAAATTTTTAAATGCTCTATTAATCAGGGAGTTTTTCCTAATGATTTAAAAATAGCAAAAATTATTCCTATATTTAAAGAAGGAGAAAAAACTAATGTAAAACACTATCGTCCAATTTCCATCTTCTCTGTTTTTTCTAAAATTTTAGAAAGAATTTCGTACAACAGAATATACAATCACCTTTTAACAAACAAATTATTATATAACATGCAATATGGATTCAAAAAAAATAATTCAACAGAACATGCAATTATTCAGCTTACAAAAAGTATATCAGACTCATTTAACATTTCTAAATTTACATTGGGAATATTTATTGATTTAGCGAAAGCGTTTGATACAATTGATCATAAAATTCTTATTAAAAAATTAGAATATTATGGTAATAGGCAATGTTTTAAAATGGTTGAAAAGTTATTTAACTAATCGTAAACAATTTGTTTATGCTGATAAATCATTTTCATCAAGTTTGTTAAATATTACATGTGGAGTTCCTCAAGGATCCATATTAGGACTTCTTCTCTTCCTTATTTATATTAATGATCTATACAAAGCCTCGAATTTAATAACAATTATGTTTGCTGATGACACTAATTTATTTATGTCTCACAAAAGCATTCCTACTTTATTTCATAATGTGAACATGGAGTTAATCAAAATATCTGACTGGTTTAAGACAAACAAACTATCCCTTAACATTGATAAAACTAAATGGATTCTTTTCCATCCTCTTACCAAAAAACATAAACTGCCAATTAACATGCCTCCACTTGTTATTGACAATATACAAATTAAAAAAGTAACAGTAACTAATTTTCTAGGCGTTTGTTTAGATGAAAATCTTACATCAAGTAAAATTTCAAAAAATATAGGAATATTGTACAAAGCGAGAAATGTCTTAAATAAACAAACTTTAGTACAATTATATCACTCATTTATTCATTGCCACATAAACTATGCAATCATTGCTTGGGGTAGTGCAAATAAAAACAAACTTAAACCTCTTTATTGTCAGCAGAAGCATGTAGCACGTCTTATATATTTTAAAGACCGTTATACTCATGCCAAGCCTTTTTTATTTGAAATGAAAGTTTTTAATATATATGAGATTAATATTTTTAATATTCTTTGTTTTATGTTTAAATGTAAAACCAATTCATCCCCGATTTCTTTCCATGATTTGTATTAATTAAAAGATAAAAATAAATACATTTTACGCAATAATAATTTTATTAAGCAGCCCAATTTTCAAACAAATCTTTTTAAATTTTGTATTGATTATCGCGGACCATTCTTATGAAATAAAACAGTTTTAAAAAATTTTACTGAGGATTTTATTAATCAAAGTAACTACTTTTCTTTAAAACAAAAGCTTAAAGAACTCATTTTTGCAATCGATGATTTAACAATATACTTCTGATATTTTTTGTGATCTTTATTTTTACCATTTATTTAAACATGAACTTATAAAAAGTATATGTGTATCCTTAACAACTATAATTTACATATATGCGGTAGTGGTGTAGTGGTAGAGCGCTCGCTTCATAAACGAGTGGTTCCGAGTTCGATCCCCACCAACGTCCCTGGTAGTACCGCGCTCAACTCGTTTCTCCGCGCAGCGGCCTTGTTCGTCAAGGTTCGTGTTTCGGAGTTATAGAGTTGAGAGAGGGTTATAGCCACAAAATAAGTAGCCTCCTTGTCTGTAGTGGCCTTTACGGCCTTGAGGAGGTGAAGTAAAATAAAAAAATATATATATATATATAATAGATATAACGCATCTTGTATTTATTTTAAGTTTCTTACTTTTGTTAACTTATTTTTATTTTTTAACCTTGTAATTATCTTTTAAATTTTAACACGAACATTTCTTAGCGGTATTCGACGACAAGACCGTATGGTCTTCTTCGAGTCCCCGCGTTCTTTTATTTTCTAATAACGACCATTATATTTATATATAAATTTATTATTATATATTTGTATTTGAAATATTGTAATGAAATGCTTATTTTACATGTAATAAAAGAACGAAAAAAAAAAAAAAAAAAAAAATTTATACTAAAGTATATTTCTTACAGTAGAAGTCAAAAGTACAACGTTCGTTTTGTACTATAAGTATATATCTTAAAATAGAAGTCAAAAGTACATCACTAGTTTTATACTACAAGTATAAATCTTAAATAGAAGTCAAAAGTACAACGCACAAACTATAACTACGCCAACCAAATCGGTTTTGAAAACGAAGCGTACTTTTGACTTCTACTATATATTGCTAACCATATATAAAGTACTAAGTTTTGTTTGGCTTCACTTATATATTGTCCATATATTGAGACCACTTTTCATAAAAAAACTTGCCGGGGGAACGTTTTTTTAAAAACGAAGCTTTTGAAGGTATTATAATTACTAGCAAAAAGCAACCCGTAATACGGGTTTTGGTCGGTCTGTTACATAATTAATTTATAGTGGCTGTTTTCCACAATTTAATGTTGCAAAACCTTAACTAATACCCTTTTAGAAAATTGCCTTCAGCTTGAAAAAATTAATCCATCTGTAAAATTAACATAAAAAGTATGAGGAGGTAAAATAATTTACCAACTACTATTTAACATTTACAATTACTACTTAACATTATTTGAGTAATTTACAAATGGCATAGGTCATAACAGTGTAAGGCAGAACCATCGACCTTCCTAAGTTTAACCAGTAGCGTAGCAAAGGGCCCGCAGGGCCCGCAGCGGGGAGGCCCAGAGTTATTAGGGGCCCAAGGCAACAAAGAAAAAATTAAAAAAAAAGTGTCAGTGCAATAAATAAAATGTATAATTTATAACACGTATAACACGTATAACACGTATAACACGTATTTTACAACACGTATAACACGTATCATTTAACATACATACAAAACATATATTTTATATATATCAAATCAAATTATTAATATACTAAAATCATTAGGTCTTGATTTGAAAAAATGTAGGGGACAAGGTTATGATGGGGCAAGCAACATGAGTGGAATTTGTTCTGGAGTACAAACAAGAATAAAAGAAATTGAAAAAAACGCAATATTTATTCATTGCGCGGCCCAAAATTTAAATTTAGAAATAAATGATACTATGAATGGGATGCCAGATATTAGCAACTGCTTTTCTAGTATACAAGAAATATATACATTTTTTGGTATTAGCATAAATAGGTGGGACATATTATCAAAAATAACAGGAGAATCAGAAGTAACGTTAAAAAAATTAAATCCTACACGCTGGGCGTCTCGTTTATCATCTTGTATAGCCATAAAACAAAGATATGTAGACGTAATGAAAGCTTTATCTAAAATTATTTTGGAAAGCAATAAAAAAGCAGAAATAGCACAAGCGACCGGTTTAAGAAAGAAAATGGATTGTTTAGATTTTCTTTGCATTTTGATGTTAATTATTGAAATATTAGCACCATTAAATATCGTTTCAAAATTATTACAATCTAAAAATATGGATTTGGATAAAGTTTGTTCATTATTAGAAACTGGAATAAAGGAAATAAAATCACTGCGCAATAATTTTGATGATATTCTTGCAAAAGCAAAAGCTCTTGCTATAAAGTGGAATATAGTTCCAACTTTTAAACAATCACAAATAAAAAAAAACAAAAAAGCTGTTTGATGACGGTGGTGTAAATTTTCGTTTTGAAACGGCTGAACATCAATTTAAATTTAAACTTCCCTGAAAACAGTAAATAGCTATTTTTCATTTTTAAATCCCAATAATATAGTATTATTAGATTCTGACAAAATATTTACATATGCAACAAATTTGCAAAATAAGTATCCGATAGATATATCTGATGCCTTTCCAAATCAAATGGTTTTGTTTAAAAAAACTTTAAAAATGGAGCTTAAAGATGTGGAAAGTATTTTGGATTTGCTCAAATTGATAACAATAACATATTGTGATATGAGTTGCTCTTTCACTGAAATAATCGGAGCACTTACGCTATATTTGACATTACCCGTTAGCGTGGCAACTGCAGAAAGATCTTTCAGCACGTTAAAAAGAATCAAAACGCATTTAAGGACAACGATGGCACAAAACCGTTTGTCTGCGTTAAGTTTATTAGCTATTGAAGCAGAAGAAGCAGCTAAATTAGATTTAAAAGATGTGATAAACCAATTTGCAGCTATGAAGGCACGAAAAAAACAATTTCGTTAGAACTTCTACATACTATACATACAAAACTTTCTGTCATTAATGATAATATATCATTAGTTTTATACCCCATTAGGGAAGGGGCTAATTTTTTGTCGCTACGCTACTGAGTTTAACACAATACGTTTTTAGTTACTGACACAAAATGATAACACTTGGTCATGCTTTAAATTGACAAAAGTATCAACTAAACCTTTGTAATAATTTTTATAATACGTACCATTAAGATTAAAATGAAGTTAACTTATATTATACAGGAGTTATCAATTTTTTGGTATCCCCTTGATTAATTGTTCTTTATAAAAGAAAATTGTTAACTTAAAAATGTTAAATGCACACATTTAAATAAATTTATTAAAATTAACAAAGATTATTATAAATAACTACGCAACTGAGTGCAAATGCCTCTCAAACGAAAAATTTTAATTTACGATCAAACAAATTTATATTTGTTATTCTCTTGGTCTAACATCAGAACAAACCTTAAAAGCTGTTCAAAAGAACATTAATAAAATTATCAAAGGGTTTAGTGTCTCGGAAAGTAATCTTTCTCATGGAATAAAACTGAAAACATTTTGAAATAACAGACTTGAAGGTTGTCGAGCAGGGACATTTTGTTGCGTTTTCCAGGACATTTTATATCTTATTAAATGAATATTATCAATTATCTTTACGTTGTATTTTTTTCATATTGATTATAAGGGTATAACAAATTTTTTAATGCATTAATGCATCATGCGACAAACCTAAAATAAAAATTATAAGAGATAAGTAGACATAAAAATTTGTAAACCAATCTGACCCGACCAGGGTCTTGTTAAGTCTGTTCAACACAGACCATTTCTATATTATTTGTTTGGACTCTTTTTTTCATTAATTTTTTAGTAAACGGTAATTTGCCACCATTTACTAAAAATTCCTTTTGTAACTCGAAATTTAATTTTCCTAAATATTTTGACTCTAATAGAGATTCCTCCCCTCTTTTTGCTTTAATGGTGACCAGGTGAATAAAATGTAAAATAATAAAATGTAAAATAATGATCTATATATATAAGAATGTTTTCTTTCTTTCCTCAAAAGTGTTGCAAATTCAGACTAAGCTAACTAATTAGTTAAACACATAAATAAAACTTAAGTAACTCGATATTAATGCGCTACAATATTCTCCATGTTTTTAAAGGTTTTTAGTTACGAACCCCCACTTACAAAAATCCCCTTAAAATACGTACAACAAATTATTAGGCATAAAATAGATAAAATATAAAATTAACTAATAGCATATATTTTTATCTTTTTAACAAACAAAAATTTACAATAAAAAGAAATCAGATTTTTTTATTTTATAAATCTTACAAATGCGTCATAACGTAATTCTAAATTAAAAAAGTAATGAAATTATGATATCATAATTACAAAGAAAAAAAACAAAAAAAAAAACCACCACACAATTACCAAAAATCGATTTACCTATTTATAGTAACCTATTTTTAAATTGCAGTTAAGAATTTATCGAAAATGTAACTATAAAACCTGTTTCGAAGTACCAAAACATTAACAATACTAAAAAAAAAATCAAACTAAGATATAAATTGTTGTTTTGGCTTTTATAATTTAAACATATATACAACTTTGAACAAATATGACTTTATGTAACACGTATAAACACATTTTACAACTATTGAATGATAGATATATTTACCAAAAACTATGAAAAAAAATAAATAATGATAAATAAAGTTATACATTCAAAATTTGCTCAAAACCTTTAACAGTAAACTTTTGAAATGAAAATCTAAAGACTATAAATTAAGAACATTAAAACATATAACAATATTTATGTTACATTTTTTTTACCTACTATACCTTGAATAAGATGTATATCAATTTTGAAAAACAAACTAATAAATTCTATAGTTCTTGAAAATGCAGCATATAGTTGACCATGAGAAAAACATGGTTTTTGAGATATTTCTTTTGTCTATATGTTTAATTTCGCGTTACGTAATACATGGTGGCCACAAAATTTTAAAAGTTAAATTCCAGGACATTTTGTTGCGTTTTCCAGGACATTTTATATCTTATTAAATGAATATTGTCAATTATCTTTACGTTATATTTTTTTCATATTGATTGAATTATAGAATAGAATATTATATTATTATATTATTATTACTATCTTATTTAAAATTAAATTCAAACCATTTATGTAAAAAAAATTTTTCAATATTATTAGTAAATTACTTCAATATTATTAGTAATTTTTTAACTTGACTCAGAAAAAAAAAGTTCCAGGACATTTCAGGACATTTTTCAAAAAAATGTAATTTTCCAGGACATTTCAGGACTGTGGCCACCATGGTAATATATAGACGATCCCTAAAAAAAAAATTCTTAAAACTAGAAGATTTTATTTATTACAATATTTGAACAACCAAGGGACAATTTAAAGAATTATATCTTTAAATAGCAAACTATTAATTGCAGTATTAAAAAATGCACAAGAGCTCAGTATTTACAGAGTTGCATCAGAGCTCAGTAATTACAGAGTTTAATCAATTCTCTCTCTACAATTCTCAATACTAATTCTTGTTAATTTTGTTGTTGGATCATTAACAAAGAGTTTTTTTCCATTTTTTCTCTTTGAAGCTCGAAAGCAGACACCTTTTATTTCAATTTATTTTTGTCAATTCCTGGAAAAGAAATAAAAAAGTCGGGAAAAACAGATGCAAACCTAACTGAATTGGAATTGCCAACAACCTCTTCCGAGAAAACCCGTGGCCATATTTAAGCGACCTGTTTAACTCCAAGTGCAAGAATGGCGACAGCTTTATCATGCAGTGTAAACTGTGTTTACCCAAGTTGACTGAACTGGCTGCATATAAAAACTCTACATCAAACATGCATGTTGAGGTTATTTAATGTATACTTTTATAATATTAATTTGCACTTTAATTAGTTTACACAATTTTTGTATGTAGCTTTAGGATCAGCTAACTGCAACTGCTTTAATAACCTGAAACATTTCTAGTATAAAGTTTTTTTGTCACATAGTTATACTTTAATTTTACAATTAAATATAAAAAAAACAACCTTTTAATAAGAAGTGTAAATGTTTTAAATTCAGCTTGTTGTATGACAAATAATGTTTTTTACAGAGAAAACATTCATCAAAGCTTAAGAACTTCAGTGACTTTGTGGCAACACGGAAGCAAAGCCTACCATCAGAAATCTTAGTCAAGCAAGGAAAAATTAGTGACATGTTTACACTGGATGCAAACAAAGGTGTGTCACAGGAAAAGATTGACAAGCTAATGATAAAATTTATTTGTGACGGTCTTCATCCATTTTCTTTTGTTGAACAACCTGCTTTAAAAAATTTTTACATCCATTAAATCTACATTGCAAAGTCATAGACCTACTCTTCGACCTAGAATTAATGATGCTGCCATTCACTTAAAGAAGACTTTGTTTTTACACCTCAGTAAAGTCAGCTATATTGCCACAACTACTGATTGCTGTTCTGCGCACCAGAAAAGTTTCATAGGGGTAATAGCTCATTAGATTAATGAGGAACGGAGATCCGCCGCACTTGCTTGTCAGAGATTGAAAGGGTCACACACCTTTGATATCCTGGCAGACACTCTCTATGACATTCATTGTAAATATAGAATAAGGTGAAAACTGGTTAGAATTACAACAGAAATTGGCTCAAATTTTATAAGCAGATAAATTTTGAGCCGCTCAGGAAGCAGAGTTGGAATCAGAACAAGATTCTTCCAAAGAGTCTTTCCCTGAGTACCTGGACACATTTGGCATCCTGAAAATAGACAGTGGTCTTGAGTACCAGGTTTCTCTACATTAAAGGTGTGCATGCCACTTAAATTTAGCCGCCACAACTGATACTACCTTGGCAGAAAACAACAATGACACATAAAAATGTGCATCACGAAATGGCTTTTGGGGATGCTAAGCAATATGGAACAAGACAGGTTGGTCATATATGGCAGCAGAAACAGTTAAAGAGAAATTCAAGCTCTAGCTTATCCGGCCAAATCAGACTTGATGGAGCTAAACATACATGTCTGTGGAGAGAATCGTAAGGATTATACATACCCAGATGCTATCAAAAATGTGTTTGAAGAACTTAAAGTACAAACGTGAGTTTTTAAAATATAATTTAATCAACCTAATCAATTAACTAAAAAATAGTACTGACTAAAATAATTTATTCAAGTTTCTCTTTTTATTTTTTTTTTCATATTTATTCCAAGCATATTTCTGCAAGAAATATCTATAAATTTGCATTTGTTGTGTGTCATTGTGTGTTATAGACTGTCCAGCTGAAATTGCTTTTCTGACTGAATATTGCATAGTTATGAAATCTGTTGTAAAGGCAATAGACATTCTTCAGTCTAAGATCAACACACACATGGAATGGCTTCTGCCTGTGATCTTTCAGTTACAAACTCAGCAGCCTGAAGATATCCTCCAAAATGTGTCTTTCCCTTATTAAAGTAGTTTTGGTAGAATCATGTTAGACCCGGAATTGATTGCTGCAGCAAATCTTCTCCCAAAGATCTAAAACACCTGGGATAGTAGCACTGAAACTATAGAAGCAGGTATGATTTACTTTTATTTTATGTCATAGTTTAACCTGTTGTTTTCTGTATTTTCCATTTTTTCATTAAAAAAAATATTTCATATGCAATGTTGCATTTGTTTTTCAACAGGTTTGGTTTATGTGAGACAGCACCTTAACCAGATGGCAGAAGTGGAGCAAGTTGGGCAACATTCATCAGATGAAGAAGATTTCTTTGCATTAATCAAATCCAGAAGGTCACAAGATACAGGGGAAGTTTATGAGTACCTTGCTTGTAGTTTAAACAAAATGAATTTTTTCAACTCATCTCCGCACATCAAAAACCATTCTCTCAAACTGAACACTGGTCTTCTTGCTTTGGCTGCCTGTGAGCGTCTATTCATAGGTGCTGGACTATTATTCACTGCAAAACTAACTTTGAAAACCAGCTGCTTCCCAAACTAAACAAATAGTTTATAGTCTAAAGATATAAAAAAAACAATGTTTATGTTTTATTATTCAACAGCTGTTACCTAATAATGGCTGTTAAAAAAGCAACGCTATAACTTTTACTCGGAGTACATTTTTATTAAGCTACTTTTTACTTTTACTTGAGTAAACTTTTTGATCAGTAACTTTGAGTACAATTTTACTTAAGAAACAATACCTTTGTTTGAGTTCAAAATATTTTTACTTTTTTCATCACCGATGTAGAGTAAAATGCTAAATGGACCAGTAATAAATTTTATGTCGAAATGGTTTTTATATTCGCACTCTTTTACTTTTGATGAGAGTCTAAGCTGTTGAGTTTAAAATATAACGAATAAATTTATACTTTCACCAGCCATAAAAACAGGAAGATTTTAATAAACAGGAGGGTCAGAAATATAACTATAAAATCTAATAAATATGGGGATCTTAATAAACGAGAGAGTTGGAATATTAAACATTTTAAAATATAAAACAGCTTGCCCACTATTTAAACAGGGAAAACGGTATAAAGGTGAGTTTCCACTCATCCGTTTTTTTCACGGGAACGGGAAAGGGACGGGAAAAATAATCACGTGGGCATCCGTAGTATAAGGTTTAAAATATCTGATGGAAAACTACGCATGCTCACGTGATTATTTTTTCCTTTCCTATCCCGTTCCCGTGAAAAAACGGATGAGTGGAAACTCACCTTAAAACATAGGATAACAGTTTAAGACCACTTTTAGTGAAACTTTAAAAATAATAGAATCATTTCTATGGACGTCTTCTTTGAATTACCTTATATATTGGCATTGTTTTAGGTCTGATGATGGTCTTAGTTATTCAGTTTTAGGTTTGATGATGGTCTTAGTTATTCAGTTTTAGGTCTGATGAGGGTCTTAGTTATTCAGTTTTAAGTCTGATGATGGTCTTAGTTATTCAGTTTTAGGTCTGATGATGGTCTTAGTTATTCAGTTTTAGGTCTGATGATGGTCTTAGTTATTCAGTTTAAAATATAAAGAGTAGATTAATACTCTCATCGTGTCAAGTAAATTTTTTAATAAATGGGAGGGTCAAAAATTAAAGAAAAGTGAACAATAAAAACAACAAAGATTTTTGAATGGCTGCAACAAATAAAATTGACATTAAATAAAATAATTCAGAAGCGATTCTGAACTAAATATGATGTTGTTTCTTATATGTCACAAAGTCTAACTTATGAAATAGCAGTTGTATGGTCTAACCACCGTTTGACACAGTGCGGAATGAGGAAAAATACGTGCTATCTAAGACATAAAACATAAATACCCGTAGTTGCAGTGTATTATACTTACATTGACTGACATAAATAGGGATAGGTACAGTGGATTAAACATATATCGACTGAGAGTATATATTATAAATAATGCGTGCTAGCATTTTATAGGTTGGAAACGTAAAAAAAGAGTTGTCGCTGAAACAATTAAAAAGAATTTAATAATCAAATCTTTTTAAACTTTTAAAATGTTTTAAACCTTTAAACGTTTAAAAAGTTTTAATTGAGTTTAAAAAGTTTTGAAAGGTTTAAACTTTGTGAAAGGTTTAAACTTTGTAAAAGGTTTAAACTTTGTGAAAGGTTTAAACTTTGTAAAAGGTTTAAACTTTTAAAAGTATTTTGTAACGTTTTTGTGAGTTGTGAATTTTGTTGTTGTAATTTGCAAAACTAATAGCGAAATACGAGGTCGCAAATTCGCAAAGATATTTTGCAATATCTAGTTATTAAAAATAAGAATATAATGTTATTGTAAATAACAAAATGAATAAAAAATTTAGGATGTCGACTTATTCAAATAAACCTTGATCTAAATCTGACAATTTAATTACAATATAAATATTTTTGTCAAAATGACTTTTTTTGCCAATTGCATAGTAAAATTTCCAAATTCTAACTTTTGTTTTGAACATCAAACTATCAATTTATTCTATAAAGAAAATTTTTTTTTTTTTTTTTTTAATAGTCAACACTTCTGCAATAAATCATTAAAAACGAAATTTTGATGTTTTTTTTTTAACATTTATTTAAAAAATTCTTTGGCTGCAGCCGCCAATAGAAAGGCAAAAGCCACTTGCGAAAGCCCCAGAGGGCAAAAGAAAGAACATTTTGGCGCTAGAATTTTTTAAGGAGGCTACCACCAATCGGGAGGATTGAATTTTGGGCGAAAAAAAGTTAACTGACTTAGATAAAATCAGAGTAAACGTTTGCCGCCGGACGGCACAATCGTTGTTTGTGCCGCCGGACGGCACAATGCTGTTTGTGCCGCCGGACGGCACAATGCTGTTTGTGCCGCCGGACGGCACAATCTCTGATTTTATATATTATTTTTTTTATGGACAACATTTTGTTAATACTTTATCGAATATAAAGATTATAAAATTATTTACAATAATATTTTTTATTTATGGCAACCAGTCAATATATAAATGCGGATCAAATGTGTTGGTTCCTGCTACTTCTTCTAATGGAGTTTTTCCGAATTTGTTTTTTACTGAAACATTAGCTCCATTTTCAATAAGAAGTTTGTAGATTCTTAACTGTCGCATTCTAGCCGCAATGTGAAGAGGTGTATCTCCATGGTTATTACACAAATTTACGTTTGCTGATTTCTTTATTAAATAATCTACAACTGAAAACATTTCTTTTCCTACAGCCAGATGCAATGCAGTGTTTCCATTTTGACTTTGTGAATTAATGTTTACATTGTTAGCACATAAAAGTTCAATTATAGAAATAGCATTTTTTGATATGCATCTATGCAATGGATAGTTGCCATGCACTGGTTTATTTACATCAGCACCTAATTTTAATAAAACTTCAACCATTTCGACGCAATTATTTAACACCGCTCTATTTAATAATGTGTTTCCTAAATAGTAAAATAGTATTATAATAAAATAATAAACATCAAAAGAAGAACAAAGTAATAAACAGCAAAAAAACAAATAGAACAGCAAAAGAAGAAAAAACACAGTTCTCATTCTCGTTATGCGCAAACGAAACTTTCATCTTTTTACTCGATTTTAGTTGATCGAAACTTTTCAAACTTATTATTCGATTTTAGGGGATGACTGAATAAATGCGAATTTGACTGAATAAAGTGCGAGCTGGCATAAGTGCGAATTGCGTAAGTGCGAACTGGCATAAGTACAAATTGGCATAAGTGCGCTAAAAGATTATGCAAACATTGGCATAAGTGCGCCAAATGATTATGCAAACATTGGCATAAGTGCGAATTGACATTAGTGGGAACTGGCATAAGTGCAAAGAAGTTACAAAAACTGGCACAAGTGCGAACTGGCATAAGTGCGAATCGGCATAAGTACGCCAAATAAATTTACAAACATTGGCATAAGTGAGAACTGGCATAAGAACTGGCATTTTATCAAACCGGGGGTAAACCGCTGCTTTGTGATTTATAATAATTATTAAAATACTTTCTTGAACGTGGATTTTATGTTTTTTGATTTTTTTTTATTATAATTTAAGAAATATTAGTTATTATAAAATTTATATTATTTAAAACAAATTGTAGGCAAAAATCATTTTTTTTAACCTCCGGATTTTTACATTATACCTGTTTTGATGAAAAGAATATTTCATGCTTGACAATTTTATTATTTTGAATGTTTTGATAATGTTATTTTATTTTTACATAACTCTACCTATAAGAATGCAACAATTTGAATGATTTGTTTTTCTTCTTGACTTTTAAAAACATTTCTATACTGTGTTATTGGTGTTTCACATAATAAATATTATTAACAAAGAATTAAAAAAAAGTAGACTTATTTTTGACTTTACTAAATGCTTTGTTTGCGAGGAGGATAATCATAAAAAAAAAGTATTTCTGTTTATTTGATTTAGATATTATTTCATATATCTACGTAAAAGTTTAAATCTACGTATTTTTAAATCTCTTACTCTTTAAAAATACGATTTAGAGCATTTTTTGGACATGATCTTTAAGTAGTTTTTAATAGTGTCTCCAAGCAATTACTAAATTTATTTTCAGATTGTAAAAACCAGTTTGCGTATCGCTTTGGAAAAACTAATGGTATATTGAAGGCAATGGTACTCCTATCATAATCCAGAGGCATTAGACTGTTACCAAAAGTTAAGAGAAATACCACGCGAAGAACTAGATGAAAAAGGTGCTTATCTCTCAGAATGTTACAAAAAGTTCACCCACCGAAAACGTTTGCAACGTTTGCTTGAGCAACAAAGTATATTTATTGCAAGCAATCCTGAAACTAAACCCATAGAAGACATAGATAAATCAAAAGATTCAAGTCAAATGTCAAAAGGAAAATTGCTCAAAATCTTCAAAATCTCAAGTCTACAACAAAGAACTTTGTATAATTTGCCAATGTGAAGGCGGTAAACTTCTAAAAGTTGAGTTTATAGAGAATGGGAAAAATGTTAATAGTTTCCAAGTTGCTTAATGATCAAAAATTCTTCCTTAGAATGAACACCATCCCAAATTCTGATGACGCCGATGCAAATGATGTTAAATACCACTTAGAGTGTTGGGTAATAGTGCAGAGATCTGTTAAATTATTGACAACTCAAGAAGAAATTCAAGAACTGGATGATATTGGATAGGTTATTGCATATGTAGAAATAATTGGTTCAGTCCATTTAAACTTAAAAGAAGATGGTCTTGTATATGAACAACATTGATAAAACCTACAATAACTTAATTGGGAATAATGACGAGACTGAAGTAAATTATAAACGTTACTTAAATAAAAACCTTTACAAGATAACGTGCCAGAAATAATTTTTTCAAGACCTCCGTGCCCTAGAAAGTCCAAACAAGTTTGCTCTAGCAAATATCAACCAAAGGAGGTAAATAACTTTAAAAACAATTCGGATGATTACACAAAAATTTTCGAGGTAGCAAAAATAATTCGGAAATAAATCCTACAACAAAGAAAATAGAAGTTTAACGGAAACTTCAATGGTTTTGATACTCCGACGTCCTCTCGACGTCCGTATTTTCTTTGCTAAGGTGGGTTATACTTGGACCAAAACAAAATGTAGACTCGTGTTATGTTGAAAAAAATCCATCGATAGCCGTGTTGATAACATTAAGTATTACCTTCCAAGTTTTAATAACAGTATTAAAACTTGGAAGGTAATACTTATGTCCTTTATTGTGGTATTATTTTCATTCCATCACATCATGTGTATTGTTTACTGTAATAACTGTGTCTGTATAATTGATAAGTTAACTGATATTGGCTTATAATATTTAAAACGAATAGTAACATAATAATATGTACCTTGATCATGCGTATAAGCACTATACATATATACCTTACATAAATATATCTTACATAAATACTCATATTTGTTTAATTATTTAGGATTTTGTTGCAATATTTATTAGCATGCTTAGATTTCTAATAATGGTAATAAATATTTTATTATATATTTGTAGCTATATACAGGGTTTCTCACCTCATTTCGACAATGTATCACTACATTTCGACACTTTTGCATTTAATTTCGACATTATATCACTACATTTCGACACTTTTGCATTCAATTTCGACACTATTGCATCACATTTCGACAATTTAAAAACACTCTATTTTGAATTAAAAATTATTTATAATGAAAATTTTTGTTAAATAATAATGATCGGGACAATAAAATAATTAACGTGGCTATTTTTTAAATTCTGCATTATTTAAAGTGGGTACTGACATCATGAATATGGTTTCAATATTTTTTTGGATATACGTAAAATATATAGGTAAAATAAACAATGTGGATATTAATTATTTCAAGTTACCATGTTAGTTGTTTTTAATTGCCATACTCATTATTTTTATTGCTGGATAAATTATGTCCAATTGCCAAAAAAAAAATATCTACGCTTTGGAAAATATCCCAACAATACATAATTAAATTGTCATCAAACTATAAATTAATGTTATAATTTTTTATTAAGTAAATAAAAGCATTTGTCTCTTCAATACAACAAGAGTTTATAATAAAAGCTTAAATATCATTTTCAATATTTATAAACAGCAATGCCGAATCAAACAATCAACAATGAAAACCGTTCAAGGATAATTGAATCTTACTTAAATGGAAACTCACCACCAGAAATTGCAAATATTCTTGGATTTAAACGAACTAAAATCTATTCGATTATTAAAAAATATAAAAATGGTTTGCCGATAGAACGGCAATTAAAAGGTGGTTCTAGAAACAAAAAATTAACAGAAGAATCCAAGGTACTAATCAAAAATTGGATTGATGATGATTGTGGAGTAACTATTATGGAAATTAAACAAAGACTTTTTGAACAAAAATCCATTTCAGTCAGTCAATCTACTATAGCAAGATGCATTGATAGTTTTAATTATACTTTGAAACGTGTTCACAATATTCCAGAGAGAAGAAATTCGGAAGACGTTATTAATGAAAGAGCTACTTATGCAGAAAGATTCATGAACATTTTGTCTTCTATGAATGACAATAAAATATTCTTTATTGATGAAGTAGGATTTAGTCTTTTAATGCGAGTTAGAAGAGAAAGTTCTTTAGCTGGAAAGAGGGCCACACAAACAGTAACCAATATACGGTCAAGAAATATTTCCGTCTGTTGTGCAATGAACAAAAACGGAATTTTGAAATATGGAGCACAAACAAAAGCATTTAATACAGAAAGCTTTTTAGATTTTATTCGTTTAGTATTAGCACATATAGCTGTTAATGAAGTTGTTGGAGCTATCTTAATTTTAGACAATGTTCGTTTTCATAAAACTGCTGTTGTTCATAATGAAATAGTACGTGCTGGGCATTCTTTGATATTTTTACCTCCATATTCCCCCTTTTTAAACTCTATTGAAAATATGTTTTCTGAATGGAAACAGTTTATCAGAAGATGTTCGTCTAGGACTGAGGAGGAACTGCTTGAAAATATACAAAACGGTGCATTGAATATTACTAGCACAAACTGTAATAATTATTTTGCGCACGTACTGAGGTATATGATTCCGTGTTCAAGAAGAGAACCAGTTATTGAAGAATAAACTTACTTTTGTAACTTTTATTTTTCTTAGCAATTTTTATTTGCAATTACAATTCTTTTTATACGATAATTATTTTGTTTAGATTTTAGTTTGAATCCAAACTAAAAATTTTTTTATCTAAATAAATTTAGAAAGAATCTAACTGCTTTATTTGTATATTAATTTAAGTATTATTAGCGCTGTCGAAATTGAATGCAAAACAGTCGAAATCAAATGCAACGGTGTCGAAATTGAATGAAACATTGTCAAAATGTACTGATACAATGTAGAAATTGAATGATACGTTGTCGAAATGAAGTGGGAAACCCTGTAATAAAATATTTAACGTGGTATGCCGTAATAAGCCCCCATATTACAAGATTGACTTAATACTGTCATTTAAATATTTTTGGGGAGTCTTTTTTTGTCTTCATTAAAAATTGCGAATTATAAATACTATTTTGAATTACAAATGATATTGTTTATATGTTTAAATGTAAATTGATATCTGTCACTTTTCAAATTTTCATCATACAAGGATCTCATATCAACAAAAAGTTTGCTTGTAACTATAGATGAAAATTTCCTGGAAATTTTCATCTAAAGTTACAAGTCGGGAAATTTTCCGGAAAATTTCCGGAAATTTTGGAAATTTTCAAATAATGACGCGAATTTTTTTTTTTGAATTTTTATAGTTTTTGTATTGTTTACCATTACTTTACTTTTTTTTAATGATATTATCAATAAAAAATCAATAATTTTTTGAAATAAAGGTTTAAAATACCAAATAATCATTTATACAATAATAATACTATTATTATTGGTTCTTAAATAAATA